GCTTTGGCAAATGGTTTACTGATTCCTTAGTTGTTTTCCTCAGTGTTTCGATATGGTAAACATTTAATGCAAACATCGAGTAGTCTTTGTAATTGTTGACTGTTAACGCTCTGAAGACATGACCACAAAGTATGCCATCAAGTTGCCAATGTCTACATATACATGTCATTTGATGGAAATCAACAATCATTTTTTGTGCCCCTTTTTTACCTCGCATTTCTTACTTGAGATCATGCGAACATCCTAATTACTAAAATATTTTTTATTTTATTTTACACTATCATCGGCCCAAGGAGCTAAATATTTATTATTATAAACACATCAACCGTACACATAGCATTTTATTATTATTATAAAACATATATATATATATATATATATATATATATATATATATATATATATATATATAGAGAGAGAGAGAGAGAGCTAGGCTTAAGTATTCTAACTAATTATTTTGTGGAGGTAGGAATAAATGCGGACCAATAAAAATTAAATAAATAAATAAATAAGGGTAATTTAGTAATTTTTTAATAACTTCTAGAAATACTTCCCATAATCATGGTATTGATAGATTGACCTAATTTTTGTCCTTCTATATCTAAATTCATTTTATCTTTCTCCAAAACCCAAATGTTAACCGCCTACCGCAACGTCATTTTATCAAAACCCAAATACAAAACCTTCCGATCAGATGGCAAGCAGAGGTCGTCATCTCTGGGGTCGGCGATGTCAATTTGACATTCAGATTTGAAGGAAATCGCGACACTAATTGAGATGGGAGCTTACGCTCGTGAAGTTCGCCGGATTTTGAGGGTTGTTCGGCTGACAATCGCATTGAGGAGGAAGTTAAAGGCTTCTATAATTTCTTCGTTCCTAAATGTGGCTCTAGCATCTGGATCCGAAGAACATACTTGATTATATTCACATCTCCTAAAGGTTAGCTTCTTTCCTATATCATGAAAGGCAACTTTTTTATACTATTTAGTTGTTTAGTGTTCATGAAGTACAAAATGTTGAATGAAAACTGTCACACCCCCAAACCAAGGATGGCGGAAACGTCCGAGGGTGGAGGACTTCATGTAGAGTATCACAACAACGAGTATAATAGTGCTCAAAGTAAATACAACCATCACAATTATAATTGAAAAAGTTACATCAAAGTACATGTTGACATGATTCACATCAATTACATTATGATACAAAATGAACTGTTTGACGATTTATCGTCCCATCCTCAAAACGTTGTTGATTTCCTGTTTTCACTAAATTCCTGAGAATACAAGTAGTTTTGAAAAGGTGTCAACACAATGGTTGGTGAGTTCATAAGAGATTTCGTTAGAAAAGTAAACCGTTTTCCTTGTAAAAGCGTTAGAATATGTATCCAGAAAATCTGATATTTTCTTTAAAATCTGTGTAATGTAGTCTTATGACCGAAGACCAAAATGTATAAGTAACCTCTCTTACTAATAGAAAATGATATGTGTTTAAATGAACGCGTTTGAATTAAATGAAATTTCCGTATATTCTTATGTTTGTTAATACTTTATGTATATGTAGTCCTAAATCCGAGGACCGAGAAATAACAAGTATTGGCCATACTTAAAGGTATAAATGTGGTTTCAAATGATGTGTAGTCATAATTACCAAAACCGAAAGTGTACAGTAATATCTGTACTCATTGAGATAAAAAGTGATTTTAAATCGACATAAAACCCATTTAGGTTTTATAAATAAAATCCCGTAAACTTTATGGATTGTTATATCCCTATGTGAGTCGCTATAATCATACGATGACTGAATGAACCTGCCACGACGTTTCTCAGGCGTTGCAAAACTGAAATGACATTTGTCACCCGTAGACCTGCAGGTCCCACTGTAGCTAGTAGCAAGGTGTGGGGTGTCAAACCCAATATAGATCTATATAAAAGTATCACGTTCTCCCTCCAGGAGACTCTAATTATAACTACCAGGAATTATATCCCGCACTCGGACGTACGGGAAGAGAATGTCTCACAATTTTGGTTAACAAGTTTACGTGTAATGTGTGTGAATGTAAATCTTTTCTGTATGGATATACCCTTCTTTTACGCGCGTGTTATGTGATGTATCATAAACTATACCTATTATAGTTTATCTAAAACGTTTGTAATATGTAAGAACTCTTTTATGGAAATCCATTAATGTTATGAATCCATTAAGCTATGCTTTTTATAGTTTAATATACGTGTTCTAAATGAATGAATAATCTTATCATGAATGACTTAGTTTTAGTTTATGATGATAAACAAACAAGGAAACACATTCAATAATTAGAACTTATGATTATACACTTTGCTCAACATAATACAAAGTGTTATGATATTTATATGCTGTTAACTAACTTTAACCTTTCTGCACTGTTTTGGAAAAATCATAGAAAAATCATACGAAGTCGAAAACTAGATCCGTAAATTCTAAAAGTTCCCAAAATGTGTCTAGTTTACTCATAATTTTTATCATGATTTTTGTAAGCCTTTAACTTGTATTAAAATGCTCAGATTCACAGATTGGTCTGGATTTGTGTTTGAAAAGACATGTTGTTTTGTAAAAATCACCATAAATCGTAGAAAAATTGTATGAAGATGTTAAACTAGTCATTTTAAAGCTAAGAAGTGGGACTACTTACACCTAAAACAGTTTTGAAAACTAAAATGTTTAAGTTGTCCAAAACAGTCCGTGAATGGAGTTGAACTTTTTTGATGAAGGCTGTTAGAAAAGTTTAGTTATGTTCTTAGTGTTTTAACTTGAATTCCCCCCTTAAAAACTTGAGAAAACATTAAAATGTAGGGTTATGATCTCACCTTAGGTGATTTCAGTAGATGATTGTTGAAGAATGGAAGTGTTTAACTCAAGAACACTTGGAGATGCCTTGAAGATTTTCGAGAATCTAACATCATAGTTATGGAGTTTGTGTAAGCAATCAATGATTTGAGTAGAATGAAGTGTAATAATCACAAGGAGGATGAATTATACTTACCAATAGTGGAAGAACACTTGATAATCAACCTTGGAGACTTGAAATGGAGAGAAGAAGTTTGAGAGAAAAGTGGTGCTTGATTCTTGGTGAAATGAGAGCGAATGAGAGAAGTGAGGAGAGAGGATGAATATTCAGCTCTCAAAAACGTGGTAAAGGGTGGTAATTGAGTGTAAGGGACATTGATGTGACCTAGGTAAGGTGGGGAGGTGTGGCTGGTCATAGAGTGGGTGTGGGAGGGGTTGCTTGTGTCATAAGGTAAAGCAAAGTCAACACTCCACCTCTTTGTACTTTACCCACTAACTTTATTATTTAAATAAAAATTTTCATGAAAATATGATTAAATTGTGAATATTTAGGGTTTATTATGTTAAAATATGATTTTGGGTGAAAATCCCGCGTTAAAATAATTAAAAACGGGCCTTAAATGCAAAAGAAGTCGAAAACCGGGAAGAAAAGCATTCCCAGCGAGACCTCTCGGTCCTACGCCAAGGTTTGGTCCCTAGGCTGAGGTTCGGTCCTTGCTGAGGACTGTAGCCGGAAACGAAGGGAGGCGAGGAAGCTATGGTTGGGCTCGGGTTCGTTTCCTCCTGGGCTCGGGTTCGGTTCCTCCTGGGCTCGGGTTCGGTTTATATAGGGACCTTCGGGTCCTAAGAGGCTTCGCCCCTTTAAAGTAGGTTTCGGGTCCTTAAGCCTATTTTACTCGTTTTTACCCCGTTTTAAGCCGTTTTTGACCCGGTTAAGGGTCGGAATGACCCGAATGACTCCAAAATGTTACGAAAATTTTGAGAGAGATTTGGGAGAGATTTAACATTCTTGGAGAGATTTCTCATACAAAGAGATATTTGCGAGAGATTTCATATACTTGGAGAGATTTGACATTCCTGGAGAGATTTCTCATCCAGAGAGATATTTGAGAGAGATTTCACATACTTGGAGCGATTTAGGAGAGATTTGACATTCTTAGAGAGATTTCTCATACAGAGAGATATTTGAGAGAGATTTCACATATTTGGAGAGATTTGGGAGAGACTTGACATAGAGAGAGTTAGAGTGAAAATGATTGAGAGAGGTTTCATGTGTGGCATTTGCGAGTGTCCGGCTTCGCAATGCATGGTTCGTAAACCCTGTTAAACCTTGTTTAAGGATCTTACACACTCCCGATGAGTATGCAACATTGTTTTATCGGTTTGGCTCGCCACGTACAACAGTTTTAGGTTAAGGAGATCTAGATGTTCGCACTTTTTGCTTTATGATCTCTCATTAGAATAGAGTGTTGTGTAGAAGTTTCATAATGTAAATTCTAGTACCCACGGGAAAATTGAGTCAAACGGTTTGACTTGTTGACTTTGACTTGACCGAAATTTGACGGTTGTCACAAAAAACAAACCTTTTATATATGTAAATAGTTGAGAGACCTGAGTTGGACAGTCTTATTCTTAATTTCCCTGACTATGCAATGCCTTATGATTTTGAAGATAAACTCGCAGATGATTAGGGTATAAATTTACAAATCATCAACTATAGAGTAGATACAAATTTCTGGATGAACATTTAGATATACAATCAATTGTATCTCAAGTTATCTCATGTATGACAATCAGTGTTTCTATATATATATATATATATATATATATATATATATATATATATATATATATATATATATATATATATAAGGAATGAAGTAAACTAAAATTGAATTAAAAATAAACTTTGATAAATCTCAACTTAGTTCCATTGCTTGATATTTTTTTGTTCTCTAAAGTATAATGGAAAGTGACACTACATCATCTAGAACTCAAACCACCGTGAAGCATTCCTCATAGCTTAAAATCTATTGTTATTTGCGTGTTCTAGTCTTTTTAATTGTTCAGAAAAAATACAGAGAGGTCAGCATCTTTAACTTTCCCATTTTACCCTTCCATGTTCTACATAAATCTCTATAGCCAACTAACTAACATCACTTATTATACTCAATCACATGCATGCCACATCTTGTTCCTCAACAAGCATTACCCGTCTGAAAAACCTGAACAGAAGAACAGTTAATGTTCTTGCATCCAAGTTGTACTTCTATTACTTTGTTAGCTATGAACTCACTAACGATTTATCTGAAATCAGAGGGTACTACTGTATTTTTGTTCATAATTAGTTTTTGGTTTCTGATTAAAATTATGACATTTATTTTTCTATTTTTCTAGTAATCTCCCTTCTTTGCACTGTGTTGCTATATTGCGCCATGATGAGTTAGGCCAAGAAACCCTCATTTCACATAATGATAAGGTTAAATAAAACTTCTTTTGTAATTCCAACAGAATGCATACGATAATTGAATCTTGAATTCTAATTCCACTAGAATGAAATCATGAATTTCAATTCTGTTGAATGGAATATGGATATTTTCTCACCGATTTATGCATGTTCTACAATTATTGGTTATTGGTTTTGGTGCAATTCACAAGTCCGCATATTTTTCCAAATGAATTTAGTTTTTTATTTTTCATTTGCTAATACATTATTGGATTCTAAACTACAATTTAGTTTTGTTTTTACAGAAGTTGATGCTTGAAGAACAGACCACAAAATTGAAAGTGATTCTGAACAACATTATTATTTTAGAATGTATTAGTGTCTTTGTTAGATTTTGATGATTTCTTTCCCGATTTGAAAGTATATTTTTTTTTAATTTTATTCTTTAACAATAAATGTAATTCTTAACAATTGTTTCCCATATTTTATAAAAATTAATGTAATTTTTTTATTCTTCAATTAATGGTTTAAGAATTTATTATCCTATAATAAGTTTTTAAAGTCATGATCAAATAATAGGTTCAAAAATCTTTTTAATATTTATGGTTCTAGAATTTTTTTTTATTTTTGAACATACTCATAAACATCATCTGTTAGAATGTCCAAGTTAAAAGAATTATAAATCGTAAAATCAGATTTTTAAAATTAATAGATTCTATGATTCCTTAAAATATGCAATTTTCCTTTATTAAATTTATATTAATTGACTAAAATACCCTTGTAATTAAATAGATGATATTTTTCAATTATATTTAATTCAATAATATGTATTAATTACTTTCTTAAAACCAAAGGGTTTCTAGCTCAACGCTATCTGGTGTTGCCCTCCCTCCTTGGGGTCGAGGGTTTAAGTCCCGTGAGGGACATAGGTGAAGATGTATGAGAATTGTAGGAGTAGAATATAGTAGATTTGTCATTCAAAAAAAACTATTTTCTTAAAATAAGTAAAATGATTGGCCCACAATCATTCCTACATCCACACAATAATTAGTTAGAATATATATATATATATATATATATATATATATATATTATGGAAAACAAAAAACTCTAAAAATCATAAAAATGTATAAAAAAAATACTTAGAGATCACATAACAGATCACAAAACCTAATTTTTTTTTTTTTTTTGAAAAAATCGCACCTTTTAACACAATATCGTTGGATTTTTTTTTTCAAAATTTTTCTTTATTAAAAAGAAAAAATTCATTTTTTATTTTTTTCAGTGAAATTTTAAATAAAGATACGATTTTTTGATGTGTAAAGTCAAAAAAAAAAAATTTGTGATATCAATATATTTTTTTATACATTTTTATGATTTTTTTTATGTTTTTTTATTTTCGATTTAACCCTATATATATATATATATATATATATATATATATATATATATATATATATATATATATATATATATATATATATATATATATATATATATATATATATATGTTCAGGTTCATTTAAGACCATTATAATTTTGTGAGACCGTGAGACTAAATCTAAAAATAATTTTAAAATGCAAAATAAATAGAAAAATCCAAAAATTCTTTTTTTAAATATTATTTTCGGAACTTCAATTAACTAAAAAAAATATGAAAAAATATAAAAAAAATAAAAAATAAAAAAATATCTATTTTTTTTTGAAAAATACGTGAAATATTTTAAATACAATATTACACTGACATATTCTAAAAAATAATTTTAAAATGCAAAATAAATGGAAAAATCTAAAAATTCTTTTTTTAAATATTATTTTCGGAACTTGAATTAACTAAAAAAAATAAAAATTAAATAAAAAAAATTCTATTTTTTTTGAAAAATACGTGAAATATTCTAAATAGAATATTATACTGTAAATATTCTAAAAATAATTTGAAAATGCAAAATAAATGGAAAAATCAAAAAATTCTTGTTTTAAATATTATTTTCGGAAAATGAATTAACTAAAAAAAATAAAAAGAATAAAAAAATGCGTTTCACGGTATTACAAAATATAGGTGGTTTCAAATGAACTTAACCCTATATATATATATATATATATATATATATATATATATATATATATATATATATATATATATATATATATATATATATATATATATATATATATATATATATATATATATATATATATATAACATAGTTTTTTTTTTATGTTATTATAAAACACATCCACCGTAAACATGGAGCTAAATTTCACCTATGGAGATATGATCTTTTTGAAAGCATAAAGAAAACAAAACAACAAAAAATCATATTCAAGTGTCATGTTATGTCATCTCTTGGGTTGTTTCCCACTCTCTTTCTCTCTCCCTCTTTCTCCCCCATCCATATTTTTTAGCTTCATCTCAAGCAACCAAGCTGTCCCTTGTTGGAACCTCTGAAACACCCACCCATCACTCACACCATATGCTCTAATGCTACGTAAACCCTAATTCTTTCACTAACGAAGTAGGGTGCATGTTTCTCTTCCGCTTCTACTACTTCAGGTACACCTTCTTCTTTCTTGTTTGGCCCACAATCAAGATCCCTAAAAACACACACTCAATCACACAGAATTCGTTTTTGAACAAATCGAATCACATGAGATACATATATCTGGGTTATTCACCCATAAATCAGATTTATACTCTCTTGACTAAACCCTAAGCTTTCATAATTTTGTTGCAAACTCGTGTTCAGCCCAATCTTTGTGAAAAGTTCATTGTTAACGAGTCGTTTTAACCTACAAATAAGAGTATTTTGATAACTAGATTAAACTAATTAATTTTCATTTTTTTTTATTGTTTTGATGCATTTAAGAAACCACATCTGTATCTGAATTTTAACCTCAAAATTTTATTCAAAACATCGGAACAATTTCAAGCTCTTTGGATAAGCAAAATTAATGTGTCAAAATTTGTCTTTTTTTCTTTTTTTTATTTATTTATTTATGAGATGCGTTCATGTATTTATGACAAAAAAAATTACATTTGCTGGCTTAAGGAATGGAAATCCTAGTAATAATTTATGGGTATTTATTCAAAGCATGCCTTTTAGGGTTTAATCAAGAAGCATTAATGGAGATGAGTAGTACAGACAAAGAGATAAGAATGCAGACTTCATCATTTCCATACAACAACCACCAGTTGATTCATGAATCCTCCTCAGAAATCATGGACCATGGGTCCGACCCAGATCGGTTTGATGGGTCTGGAGCTTCAGCTACACCCATATCAGTCGGATCTAGGCTCTTAAAGTCACCTCCACCGCGGTATCGAGAGTGCTTGAAGAACTATGCGGCCAACATCGGTGGTAGTATCACCGACGGATGCGGTGAGTTCATGCCTTCAGGCGATGACGGAACCCTAGAAGCACTTAAATGTGCTGCTTGCAATTGCCACCGTAATTTCCATCGCAAAGAAACCACCACCGCCGCCGCCGTTACAGCCGGACCTTTTCTCCAGCTCCCTCCTCCATTACCCTCCCACTCACCATTGTTCAACAACCACCAGCGTACGTCAACGTCAGCAGTCTCCCTCCACCACAACCCAAACTGGGTATCCTCCATCAACGCTCCTCCAGTCAGAATGGCGGTGGGGGGAAGTGGTGCTGCAACGGAGTCCTCGAGTGAGGAGCTCTATTTCACAGCGGTGGCGCCGTACGGAGTGGCGAAGAAGAGATTTAGGTCGAAATTTACGCAGGATCAGAAGGAGAAAATGCTTGAATTTGCAGAAAAGGTAGGGTGGAGGATACCAAGGGAAGATGATCCAGAGGTGCAAAGATTTTGCGCAGAGGTTGGAGTTAAACGACAAGTTCTCAAGGTCTGGATGCATAATAATAAAGCCATTTCTGGGAAGAAGCAGGTTCCAGATTCCAATGAAAACATTGATTGATTGTACGTTACCATTCAGTTATGCAGTAGACTGTTGTAGTGTGAATAGGGAGTTGTGACTCTATCTTGTTGTTTTCATTGTGTTTTTAATTATTTTCTGGATTTTAATCTAAAAACTAGATATATTTTGTTGAATAAATGAAAAATTGACGTTCAATTTCTGGTTTTGATGAAATATATCTTGATAATTGAATTCTAAAGCTAAAAATTACTTTATTTTGTCATTTCAAATTTGGTTTATTTTGTCATTTTAAATTTACCATACATTCATTTCTTATTAAATCGTTTAGGTTATAAAGAGTTGTTATATTTTGTGTTGAGGAAATGATTTACAACGGTAACAAACTATCAAAAATGTACAAAAAGCACTAAACTAAACCGTGTGGGCAACTCCCAATTCCGTTTTTCAGTAGTGATACGGCTTTAATGCCGTGGTCATGACGATCCCCACCTCCCTTTTTGTTCTCGTCCGTTGAGTGATAATTCGTTACTCTTCATTGCATGTACAAAGTTTCATAATGCGTAGAACGGTTCATTTTTTGACCATTGGCGAATGCTCAATGTGTAAAAGATAAAAATTTAACTTTTTTTTATTTACATTTAAATAAACATAAAAACATAATTTTAACCACACAATCTTTTCTCATCTTCATTCTATTTTCAACTTCCCGAAAAAAAAAAACCACTTTTCCTTTCAACCAAATATGGAGCAAAACCCGAACATTCCACCTCTAAACACAAACACATCCATCCTGATGGGTTTCACACAATATAGAAGTTATATGAATCCGCTTAACTCAAACTCACCCCAAAGCAATTTCCTACATTCCTTTACATGCAACAAAACTCAAATCTTCAACAAAACCTTTTCATTACTTTCACTTCCATGCAACAAACAACCACACAACCACCACCAGAAACTGTTCCAGAAACACAAGCAGGAAGCAGTCAGAAAGGGAGAGGGAAAGAAAAAGGGAAAAGGAAAAGGAATGCAATCGCGGATATAGAAGAAGATCATCCACTATGGTGGACACCGGAGGAGGAGTATGCTTTGATGGTGGTGTGGTGCAGGACTTCAAGGTGTCCAACCATAGGAAATGATATGTGAATAGTTGGTTTTTGGGAAGTCGTGCTTGACAAATTCCACACACTTATCAAGAAACAACCATATTGCAATATCAATATGGTTAGTTGCAAGTGGATTCCGATCAGTCGCCGGTGCACCAAGTTTAATGGGATTTTCATGATACTAGAATCACAAAGGCAAAGTGGTGCGAATGATTTTGATGTTTACAAAGCCGCGAGGGTACAATATCAATCGGAAATGGGGTACACTTTCAAGTTTGAAAAAATATGGAACATTGTTAGACTAGATCCAAAATGGAATAAGACGCTAACATCGGGGGAGGTACAATCAAAGAGGTCTCGCAGTTCTAGCTCATTTGACGTTTCCGACGCACAAACAAGCATCAACCTGAACGTCGACACTGATAATATCTTCGACGAAATTTAAGAGATCCCCCTACACACACACCGACTGATCAGACGCGACAAAGTGAAACGTGCTCAATGTCATGCGTAAGAAAATTGATAGAAGGGCACAAGAGTTGACGGAAATGAAAGCAAAGTTCAACCAACAAAAGATTGATGTGCAATGTGAGCACTTGGAGTTTCTTCATAAGCAAGCGGAAAAAGATCAAATGGAGAAAAATTTAGCAATTCTTCTGACTAGCAAAGCAAATATGGGACCACGAAAAGCGCTGATGCTCCAGAAGATGAATGACAAAATCAAAAGACAATATTTGGATGACTAGTTGATTGGTTCTTAGTTTTGAGGACAATTGGTTTTTTTCCCTTTCAATGTTGTTTTTTTCTCTTTTTTTTTTTTTTTTTTTTTTGTGTAATGTTTTTTTTTAATGTTATGGGTAATCTAGGAGTTAATTAAATTGCACGTTTTTTATTGATCCAATGTAATTAAAAAAAATATAAGGAAAAAACAATAAAAAATAAATAAATTGAAAAAAAAAACCAAAACAAAAAAAGAAATAATGATATGGAAAGTTAAAGATGTTATAACAAGTTGTCCATTTCCTCTATTTGGTGTTATAAAACCGTTTCGAAATGACATTAAAGGTGTCACCTTTTGGGTGTGATAGCATCTCTTAGTTAGTTGTCCACACCCACTAATCTTAATGTTTCTTTGTACATGTTTTATTAGTAATTATTATAGCCTTTGCACACCTATGATTATTAATGTTTATGTTTTGTTAAACAATTATTATTGGTTTCATGTCACCTCATAGTTGACATGGATTTTAGTGCTGATAATGTAGATATTTTATTATTAATATAGATTTTACCATTAAATTTTGGAAAATTGAGTAATCTAACCACTTAAATATGGTTTTTTGTGACATCCTAAATTCTTAAACCAAATTTTCAATTTTAATATTTAAGAAAGGCAAATTTCATTCTCAATGGTGACTAACTAGTTGTTTATATTGTAAATTCAGGCATAGTAACACCAAGTACAAAATTATAATAATACAAAAGTAGATGCGATTCAATCATGCTATGTCATTCCCTTTATTGTCGGAAATACTTGAAATATTGAACTTAAACCGTAAGTATAAAGCTTAGTGATTTTCCTAAGATACCACATAACATTCAAATAACGAGCACAACCCAATCAAACACATAAGAGAGTCTAGCCCAATAACCCCATCCCAACGACCTAACCTAACAAACATATAAGCAGGAGCAGCCCAACAAGGAAACCATCAAGACTCAAAAAGGAAACAAACAAACGTTGACACCTAGTATATTGAGAAGACTCACATGAATCAAGAGTTGAATTAACCATTCGAGGTCTTAAAGAATCAACTAAATGAATTGCCTAAATCGACAGAGACTCAAACCTTAGTTTATAACTCAAAACCTCAATGTTTAACCAAGAGTCAAACTGATTAAAAAGTTAACAATTAAAGTCAACAATCAACAACCTTCGTGCCACGACCAAATACCATGTCCGAGATGCGAATACTAAATGAAAAATTAGTCACAACATGCACTCCACCGCTCCATGATTGACGTTCCAACAACATAATCCATTAAGCTTTTAATCCTTAATGTCTAGAGTTCAAAATCACACATCTAAATCTTCTAAGGGACTTTTGAATAAAGTTTCTAATGTCCAAATCCAAACCCTAACTCTCAATTTGACCAAAAATGACCCTAACTCATGTAAGGTTCAATTGTGGTGCAAAACTTCTCAATTTTCCAACTCAAACAAGGTCCAGAAGCCAAATAATCCATTCTAAACTTATAGAGTTCTTCCAAATCCAAAGGGAATCATAAAAAGGACCAAAAAAAGATTCCATCCATGAAATAAGATTAAGAACTCAAAAAGGTGCGAGCTTTATACCTTCTCTAACTCCAGAACATGCAAGCGATATCATATCTGATGTAGAAACCACACTTCAAACAATAAGCTCTCCATCTTCTCCTTCCAATGTACCTCTATGTTCAAAAGACCAAGAACACATACATAAGTTAAACACAAGGATTAGGGTTCTCTTTTGGTGAAGGAAGTTGAAGATACAGAAAGCCTTAAACACCTATTTCCTTAAATATAACCCAAATCTTGAGACCTAGCGTTTTCGGTTGTGCGTCCATCGCACCGTAGATAGGAACTAAATAGCCTGCAAGTTAAACATGTAGTCTCATCGAGATACCCAAATTTACACACCGTAAGACCCAAGCTTCTGCGTCGTGGAAAAATCGTTGTCACCAAAACCATATCCTTAAATTCCACTTAAAATGGATTTTACAACTCTTCCCTACTTAAGCTGGATTTCATCCTCAAAATATGTCTCTATTGAACTAAGAAAGATTAATGTAAGACAAACACACAAGTCATTGCCAATTGATCGCAAATCAAATCTATATACAGTAGGGGTTCCCAAAACCACATGGAAACCGGACATCATCACATAAATTCCAATTATCCAAACTTATGTAATTCGCAACCATTATGAGACATCCCCCATATTCCAGACCAACTTAAAAATTTTCTTTAAGCTTTGAAGTATTGAAATACGGAAGTTCGTAGTTAAATAAACATTTTTGACATAATGAAAGTAATTTTATTAAAACATTTAGGATGTCATTTGTTTATATCTAAACATACGTTACATCGTAAATAAAAAGGTCCTGAAATAACTAATGCAAGCCTAAGTTATTTTATTAAAACATTTAGGATGTCATCGTTTATATCTAAACATACATTACAACGTAAATAAAAAGGTCTTGAAATAACTAATGCAAGCCTACCATTTATTCCACTCAGCATCCTAACTATAAAATTTCAACTTTTGCCCCACTACGAGTGATGCAATAAACTAAGTGGGTCTGGTTTGGGAAACATGGTGAGATACGTAGGGTTTTCAAGACCATTACATTTTAATGACAAATTATCATTCCTGCAAGACATATAGTAGGTGTAAATATACAAACTATCCTAGGCCTATCTACCTAATCTCAACCGATCCTCATAGATCCTAATTTGAAAATCATCTTGAAGAATTACCTTACCGGATGAACAGTCTAAGCAACTATTTGACTACACCTGCTAGGGGAGTCCTTGACTAGTGTAAGTCATACAAGGCAACCAATGTTTAGAGGTTTTGATGAACATGAATTTCCATTTCATCTACGTTGATGGGTTATAAGCCATGCTAGCAACGTAATTCACAAGACCGCCTAGAATTACCAAGTGTTGGTCATCTACTCTGGTCGATGACCCAGACATACCATCCAGTTATCTGATCGAGACCCACCATTTATGGTCACCCCAATACGGGGAGGATTACACTCCAATTTGGCCCCACACTCTAACCTAACTATGAGACCTAATCGATGCCAAGCTTATTCGACACTAAGCAATCATTTATAATTCTTACTTCTAATCTAAGGAAAGACCTATATCTAAAGGAAATTGATTTCTACAACAATTCCTTATCTAAATGTAACTATCTTATCTTTACAAATAGCACATAACACAAATAATACTAACAACTTTTATTATATGGATATTTTTAAGTTAAGATTATTTTATTGAT